AATATTATAGTATTCTATACCAACCTAGTAATTTTTTATCCCTCGCCTAACCCTTGGAAGTTAATAATTCTGCTATTTAAAAAGTATTGTTTTATAATTTTACTCTTTTCTGTGGCAAATAGATTTTTGTCTACAATTCTACCATCTAAACATTTACGCTAGTTAAATACAAAGCAAATTTTTTCGTAAATATGAGATACGATAGTATTGTGCTAGATTTGTACTAATATATTAGCATCCTAGTAATTTTTTACCCTTTAACTACCCTCCCAATCCGGAATCAATAATTCTGCTAGGTTAAAATTTAATGTGATAAAAAATCTATTTCTATAATTTAACTGTATTCTACTTTTAACTGATTTTATAAATTGCTTGCCAGGTTTTTACTGAATTTGATCCACCCTTATAATTTTTGACCCCCTGAGCCTCAGTTAACGGGAAACATTCAAAAAGCTACACATTGAGGCTAGGTGAATAAAAAAACTTTTTTTGGAAACACAAGAGTGCTCTCCTAGATTTTTACTATATTTTTACCAACCTAGTCATGTTTTTCTCAACTACTCTAATTGAAAAACATCTTCAAATCTTATTCTATGCTAACAATTTTTTATTTTTTTAGTGTTTAAATATTGAAAATACTTTATTCCAAAAAACTATAAATTTGAACCCTTTATGAATATAAAATAACTGAAATCGAGTTGAGTTTTAGTCAATACAATGGAATTTTTATATTTCACAGAATAAATTACCAGGTAATTCAAACTAACATTCCAGGTATTACCAGGTAATAAACATTCAAAATAACATAACACACAAATTGAAATAATTTTATTACGTCTATTATATTATTTAACTAATTGAAAAGAAGGGTCGGGACCGTGCGTATCTATTGTTAAGAGATTAAAAGATTTGTATTCAGTAGGTACATGAAAATTTGAAAAATAATTTAGGTATTTAATATTATTCAAATAAGAAGAGTATTAACGATTGGTCAAAACATATTTTTAAGATTATGTGTACCTATAGCACAAAGAATTTATCTTGGAAAACATTTTAGGATATAAATATTTTAAGTAGGTATATTCAAATAAATCGAAAATTACCGGTTGGTCAGAACAGCTGTTATAGATTATTTGCGTAGTAAATTAAATTTAAATTAGCAGCATTTTAAAAATTTAAAGATACCTATTTGTATTTTTTTAATTCTTTGTCGAATTTTCATTCATTGTCAGTTGAATATAACTAGAAATTAAAGGGTATTTCAAAAAATATTAACCTGTTTATTTTGTTTATGGAAATGTTTAGAAGAATCGACCAAGGAGAGATCTGGTTACTCGGGACAGTTCACATACTCATAAATTGGGTTTTTTCTAATGTTTAGGATAGTACTTACTCTGCATCTTTTTATTATTAATTTTTTATATTAATAATTCTATATCAATTATTTATAGGTAAATGTTCGGGTACGATATTCCGTCTTTATATATAAATATATTATATCCCGTAATATATTGTTTAAAACTAAGTCTAACTTTCCACGGTACCATCGATTCATCTAGTGGTAATTCTTTTACTGGATAATACAGAGCAGTCATTTTATAATTAAAAAGTATATGACTGTTGTTATTCTATAAAACCGATCTACAGAAATAACATTAGGTCTCATTGGATTATGGATGAAGTGTAAGCACCCTAAAATTTAAAGAACAAGATCTCTGCCGAAAAACTTAACACTTTTTTATTTCAGTTATAAGTAGCGAAGAGTAACATTGTAAAAAAATATTTTTCACCTTAAAGTTTAACAGAATTATTGACTTCCCATAGGAGGCAGTTGAGGGGTGAATAATTGCTAGTGTGGAAATAAATTCGCAAAACCTAGCAAAACACTGTGATGTTAAAAAAAATAATTTTTTTCTGATTTTGCTGGTTCAAATATTGAGCTAGCAGGAACATTTTTAAATAAGATTAGTTTAGAAGTGCAAAATTATTAGGATGGTCAAAGTATAGTAAAAACTTAACAAACCACTTTTTTTATTTCAGTTATAAGTAGAAAAGAGGAAAAAATTTCTTCGTAAATTTTAATCTAACACAATTATTGACTTTTCACAAGGGGTAGTTAAGGGGTAAAAAATTACTCGGGTTGTAATACATTTGTAAAAACCTAACAGAACAATATGGTATATGGTATGGTATGGTATAACTGTAAGCCAACAGAATCGCTCCCCTTAAGGGTGGTTTGATTCTGAACAAATATTAGGATTGTAATTATTTAGTGAAAAATGGGAGAAAAAATATGTCATCAACAAAAAGTTTTTTTTTTAATTTTACTAACTTGAACCTTACGCCACCAGAATCGCTCCCATTAAGGGTGGTTTGGAAGTGAAAAATTATTAGGGTGGTAATAAATTAGTGAAAAATGGGTAAAAAAATATGCTATCAACAAAAAGTTTTTTTTTAATTCTGCTAGCTTGAACCTTAAGCCAGCAAAATCGCTCCCATTAAGGGTGGTTTGGTGGTGAAAAATTATTAGGGTGGTAATAAATTAGTGAAAAAGTGTGAAAAAATATGCCATCAACAAAAAGTTTTTTTTTTTGAATTCTGCTAGCATGAACCTTAAGCCAGCAGAATCGCTCCCCTTAAGGTTGGTTTGATGGTGAAAAATTATTAGGGTGGTAATAAATTAGTGAAAAATGGGTGAAAAAATATGCCATCAACAAAAAGTTTTTTTTTTTAATTCTGCTAGCTTGAACCTTAAGCCAGCAGAATCGCTCCTCTTAAGGTTGGTTTGGTGGTGAAAAATTATTAGGGTGGTAATAAATTAGTGAAAAATGGGTGAAAAAATATGCCATCAACAAAAAGTTTTTTTTTTGAATTCTGCTAGCTTGAACCTTAAGCCAGCAGAATCGCTCCCCTTAAGGTTGGTTTGGTGGTGAAAAATTATTAGGGTGGTAATAAATTAGTGAAAAATGGGTGAAAAAATATGCCATCAACAAAAAGTTTTTTTTCCAAATTCTGCTAGCTTGAACCTTAAGCCAGCAGAATCGCTCCCCTTAAGGTTGGTTTGGTGGTGAAAAATTATTAGGGTGGTAATAAATTAGTGAAAAATGGGTGAAAAAATATTACGTAGGTTAAAATGGATTCCGCTCATGTGTCCCCGCTAGCTTAAGGGTGCTTGAATTACGCATCTGTGTATCAGAGAGAGAGACGAATATTAAAAATTCCATAGTAGCTTATTTCAGGCACACGCCAAGAACGATGAAAACGAGTATAACACATTTCAGATTTTTAATAGACGTGTATGATAATTTAAAATAATTGAATCCTACAATCCAGAAGGCAAAAGCCCTAATTAATTATGGATTATTAACCTCATTGATGTTTGTTTTTCTTTAATAACAAATGGATATTACGAATAGTCGTAAGAATCGATATCTGTCATATTCTCTGTCATTGTCCGAGTCATTGTACAGCAATTCTTTATTACAAAGTCCGACGATTATGTCTATTTCGTAGATCGTACAGTAAAGGGGTACAATCATGGACGTATAAACATAGATGGACACAGCAATAAGATACCTTTAACACACAAGCGTGCTTGAATTTGAGTGCTTGAATTTTTACTCGCGGGTAATTATTCAGATTTTAAAAATAGTAATAATGTATAAAAACACGTTCAAAGAATTAAAAAAAAAACGAGAGTTTAACTATTAATAAATCACGTCTTTATAGAAAAATTAAAATACAATTTTATTTGCTTTAAAATTAATACAATTAAATATAGTTGAATTCAAGCTAATTTTTTAATAGTATCAAAATAATGCTACAATAAAAAATCTTTATGTTTTCTCCTTAACTTGCTACCCAAATAGTTCGATCGTCAATATTATTTGGAAACCTACATAGAAAAATAAATAAGTTTTATTCATTTCACTAATTTATTTGTATCCATGAGAAATATTAAATTATAAAGGTACTAAACAGATCTTTTTTAATCAGATGATGTCTACTTACAATTTATAAATGTCTATCATATCTTATTCAATACATTAATGAACATGAATAAACCCAATGGTACGCCTATTAAAATGTAAACAAACACGCTTCCTCATTTCCTCATCTTAAATAATGTAAATTGTATGTACTTACAAATGAAATGAGAGATCGGGATGTAAATATTTCGTTTATTTTATTTCACTTTTCACAAATATAACTCAAAATACAGCTAAAATATCGAAAAATAACTTTTTTCTCATTTAATGTTAAAAGTAAACAAACATGGAACAGCATTTGAAGTTTGACGTAGATCCATAAGACAGAGAAATGTAAACAACCGTTGCCATTTATAAATAGTTTTCAGTGCTTCTACATATAAAATAATTGGTTATTATACGCTATTATTAAATGATAATGCACACTATGTGCACACATGATATTTTGATTACAATTAAATATATTAATATAACCAATAAATTATTATTTTGGTTTGATAGCACCTGTAGAGTATAAAATATGGAGTAATATTTTCAGCGACTCGCGAATTAGAAATTTTAAAACAAAACGTGACAACAGTTGAAGGTGCTCAGAATGTGACTTATTCAAATAATTTTGACTTCACAATTTTATGTAAATAACTGAGTCCATCTGTGTTTATACGTCCATGGGTACAATGATATAAACATAGATATAAAAATATTCGCGTCAACGCTAGAAATTAAAATACGATTCGGATGATCAAGTATTATTATTTTTATTATAGATTGTTTAGTGATTTTGTTTTGTTCTTTTAAAGTAATCAAAACATTTTTATGAAGCTTCAAAACTCATTAATCATAAGTCGAAAACTCAAACTAGAATTTGTTAGTGCATTCCTTGGGGTATACATATATAGCATACCTATACCTATACAGCATACCTATATTAAAACAATTTTCATTAAATACTTTTTAACAGACCATTTAAATTGTAAAATTGATCAACAAAATATATAAATATATACTTACAGCAGGCTATGTTAGTAAATCCACATTTCTTAGATGGTACCCACAAATTAGACGATCCAGTATCGAAAACGACTTTAAAAGGCTGTGGAGGGGTACCAATGGTTATAGGACCATAATATTGGGCCTGAAAACAAAAATTTGCTCAAGGTTTGTGTCAATAATGTAAACTATTAGCACTTACGTCTAAATAATTGGATAACGGTTCTGGTGTCGGTCCTCCGTATTTGTTTGAAGTTTGTTTCAACAAAACACGATTTACTTCGGTTCCCACATCTTTTAGTGTTCTTCGTATAGATGTAAACTTCTGAAGGGGTATTCTGGAAAAACAAAGAAGATTTGTGTAGAACAATATAAGTTATAGCCAAAATGATATTATTTAAAAGGTGGTCAAATAATAACATTAACTCGTTGACTGCCAATGACTCAAGAGTTGAATCATGACGGTTTCTACTTACAGGCCGATGACTCAACTCTTGGGTCATGTGCACCGTATGACATAAATGATTCAGTAACGCTTAGGCCTTCAAAAAGTGTTGTGTATTTTCTTTCGGCCTATTGCTAGATATTTTTAAAAGATATTTACAGTTCTGGTTTTTAAATAATTTGTGAAAAGCATTCAATATGGACGGTGAAATTGCAGGACCATCTAGACCTAAAAGTGCCCGAAGGGACTTAAAAAAACCTATAAATCTATGTAATTTATCTGAACAACAGTTAGAAGAATAGCTGAATTCATCTGATAGTGATATCGAACTATTTTCAGAAAGTGGGAGTGACTATGAACCCGATGATGATGGGCTAAGTTTTTACGAAGAAGCCGTAGATGAAACTATAGTTTATTTTTATGAACGAGAGAGTAATTAGCATAATTTTAACTGGTACCTCCGACCACTCCATGGGCGTGCTCAAGATTAATTGAAAAATTACTTTGAATAATTGTAAAAAATAAATGAATTATTTCAGTGTTATAAAGTGTTATGTGTATGTAAACAAAAGTGACCTCTTTTATCACACACTATATTAGAACTTACTGGCCTACATTAAAAGGGGTTTTAAAAAATTCACATTTTTTTTTAATTTTTAAAAATTACAAAAGAGAAAAAGAGTTTTTAAAACCGTCTAAGGTATGTTAAATAGATGAATAAAAATATTAATATAAAACTTACAGCTACTTGTTACAAATCCAAATCAGATTCAGAAGATGAACTTTCAGAACCAAGATTTATAATAACTGGCTCGATCATTTTATCAGTAATATTGTCCAGCTTCCACATTTTTTCCTCTTCTTTAATAGTGTGATTTACTGCCTTTTCCCAGTTTTCAGGTTTTACATTATTTACGGCCTCCAAAAACAACTGTTTAACATCATGCATTTTAAAAGTGGTATTTTTTCTTCACTTCACTCTTTATCTGTGCCCATACCAGTTCAATCGGGTTTAATTCACAATGATATGGTGGGGATCTAAGTACTGTCATTCCACGATTTTTGACAATTTCATCAATTTCGTATTTTTAAAATTTTTCTTTATGAAGGGCACACAACGAATAAAGTTCCTTTCTTATAGATCCGGGATGGTACGTAATATTTTTTGAACTCAGCCAATTCTGCAAGTCTTTTTTTAACCACTTGGTTGTGGACAGTCCTTCTATAAGTCTGGAGTGATAACTTGCATTATCCATTACTATTACACAGTTCTTAGGAAGAAGATCTATCATTTGTTCGAACCATTCTTGAAAGACATCAGCGTTCATGTCTTCATGGTAGTCACCGGTACGAGTTGATTCAAAAGTTAATAAACCACCTTCAACAAAACCGTCTGAACTGCCAATGTGTACTATTATCAGCCTGCGTCCCTTTCCTGATGGTGGGTTTAAACCAGTAGATAAGTTATTTACAAAAGCGTGCCTTTGTAAATAAGCGTGCCTTTTTTTTCATCAATATAAAATATTTTTCTTTATTGGTTTCTCATTTCCTTTATGGTTCTTAGAAAATGTCTTCTCCAAATGACAATATCGCTTCTTTCTAATAAAATAGACTTTCTGGGATTCTTTTTCCAGCGGAAGCCTATTTCTTTTAAAAGTTTCCATAACGTACTTCGACTCATTTCTGGGTAATCCTTATCATCTCGAACTGAGACAAGAACTTTATCCAATGTTGGAAATTCTTGTCTAAAGAAGAATTCATGCACTTTCCGTCGAAGTCCTTCTTTAAAATGATATTCTATTTGAAATTTTGGTTTCCCTGGAGCATTACGTGGCATTTGAAAACTACCACATTTCTCTTCTTTAATAACTCTGTAAATCGTAGATTTCCCAACACCAAGTGTACTGCTAACTAACTCAACGGTCTCATCAACACTTTCACATAAACGTTTGTCTGTAAATGATTTAAAACAATTAAATATTAATGTTTTTTCATTAACTGTTAAAGGACCAATTTTTCGGCGTTTACACAGCACTTCCAAATTTTCCATAACACTAGTATACACAATAAACTGCACCTTGCAACTGAAGTACCTACTTTTAGTGAACTGTTAAGAATTTTGAATACGCCACTTGGACCTTCCTACAAAATGGAAAAACCCACTATCACATTTTCTGTGGAATAAGTTTAGAAGGTAATTATCTAGTCAATTACTGTCGTAGATTCCTGGAATTAAAGAATTAAATGTTTGATTGTTGAAACCCTTACTTCGTGGAATGCACTCATTTCAGATAAAATAAAACGTTTTATTTTATCTAAAGAATTAAACTTTATTTTTGCAAATAGGTAGGTACTTATTAAACTTTTATTGGTTATATATAACCAATAAAATAAACATCTTACATTTCTTGCAAATTCATTAGTACCTGTTAACCTCCATCACTCCGACACTGGCAACCTTATTTAAGGATTAGTAACCCTCACAACTATTGTATTCTATTCTGCTCCAACCTTTATACCTGGTGGTCATACTCAATTTAAAATTGTTTTCCTATATACTTCTGTAAACTTGTTGACAAATATCTGTTTTTCATTGAGTAACCCGTGTCAACAGTTTAGGGATTTGAATACATAATTTATTGTTTTATTACTCTCTCATACATAAAAATACGCTATAATTTAGGAAATCTTAACGATTAACATGCTCGTTCAAATGAAAATATACTAACATAAATAATGTGCTGTTATGGAGTGATTTGCCAAATTTTAATAATTTTCAAATTTCTGGTAATCCTGGGCTGAAAACAAGTTTACTTACAGGTAACCCGTATGACTTTTCCAATTATTGTTTACTGATGACTTTTTATGAACATATAGTGGCGGCAACCAATACGTACGCTGAAAATTTGTTTTTGAGCGAAAGAACAAAAGAGCGCTCCAGAATAACTACCTAGAAACCGTTAACCGTTTCATCACTAAAAGTATTTTTGTGTTGATGGTTGCACATGGGCAATATTCAATTGAATCGTATTTAAGATTATTGGAAACCAGATAACTTATACAATCTTCCATGTTTTAGACAGTCTATGAGTAGAAATCGTTTTCTTACAATCTTAAGATGTTTGCATTTTTCGCCAACATCACAAGTAGGCCAGCCAGTTTATAACGATCGCCTGAATAAGATTAGGTGGCTACAGGATTTTTTAACGAACGAATTGACAAAATTTATTATCCAAATAAACAGCTTTCCTTAGACGAGTCAATGGTTCTTTGGTGAGGGCGCTTCGCTTGGAGCAGATAAAGATATGCATGTAGACATGGGTCATGTCGTTCATGCAGTATTTTCATTGATGGGAAATTATTTTGATCTCAGTAAAGAACTTATGATAAAAAACTTACGTAACAGGAACGTTAAGATTACACAGAAAAGGAAACTCGACAGAAGTTATAAACACAAAAATTTACAAAAGGGGGAAATATAACTAAATATGCTGACGGAGAATGTTAAAATATTCGTAGATTTCCACAATGCATATATATATATATATATATATATATATATATATATATATATATATATATATATAAATGCGACAAGTTCGATACAACTACACGCTAACAGTGTGTTACGTTGTCACCTAAACTTTTCATATCGGCTCTAGAATAAGCGATCAAACCCCTCTAATGGGGTGACAAAGGAATAAATGTGGACGGAGAGGTGCTACACCACCTAAGCTATGTAGACGATATAGTTTATCTATAAGCTATATATATTGCAGACGATTTGGGACAAACAAAGAAAATGTTGGAAGAACAGCCTGTCATAAAATACGTTGAAAAATGAATATAACAAAAACAAAATATATGACGAACTTAGTACCAAGTAAACACCTTGAAATACAAAATGAAAAAATATAACTTGTAAACATATATATATATATATATATATATATATATATATATATATATATATATATATATATAAGGATCACTCAGACGAGTGGTGGGTTCTTATATTCTTATATCGGTCTCTAGGTGGAGAAATAAAAGACAAAGTTGATAGGCTACTTTATCTATTTTGAAGACGTTTCGGTTTCGAGTTTTGAAAGCATCATCAGTTCATCTAAAAAATTTTACAATATGAGAACCACACAATCATGGAAACGATGTTAATTGTTACCTTAAAAAGATATGTAGCAGTCAATGTTATTAACAATAATGTGAATGAAACTAAGTAAATGGACATAATACGCTGATTTTGTATAAACAGTTAAGTAACTAACAACATATATGAACTTATAAAAAATTAGCACAGCAAATGACCATGTGGTCTAAAGTAAATTCAATGTTATTTAATGTTAATTAGTGAGTAAGAACCAAGAAAATCATAGATAACTTCCAACTATTTAATGGATATTAAGCTTTGATTTTAACTTTAGGTAGCATTATAAGTGATATTAATAAAATTTTTAAAAAGTAGTATAAATGAAGTTACCGATCAAAGCCCTATGAATGTCGCCGGGAAAATGGCGTTTAATGAAACAGGAACGAACTAAACCGCGAAAAGACAGCCAACCTTGAGGTCAAAAATACTTTCGACAGATCAACAAGGTGTAGGTACCAACCCAAAATTTTGGGCGGTTAATTTAAGTTTAAATGAGTTTGGATGACTACCCGATTGTTAAAGACAACACAGTGAAAAAAGTTGGTAGTGTAATAGCAACTCCCCTCACTAATCAGTCCAAATTTACAAATCTCCTGTTTGTAAATTTGGACTTTGTATACTGGATTGACGGTCGTACTCCTTTTTCCGATATATATATATATATATATATATATATATATATATATATATATATATATATATCGCAAAAAGAAGTACGACCGTCTATC